GGGGGGGGGGGGAGACACGCGAAGGGAGGAAACGCTGTGGGAGGAACAGGAGCAGACCTCTGTGCCTTTACATCTGGGACCCTGTCTCTGGCCTACATGTTCATCTGCCCCGTGTCTCTGTAGGTGTCTACACATACATCTTCCAGTCCTTTTTTTGTGAGTCTTACTCTTTTTCTTTTTAAAATATGTCTTTATTGATTTCAGAGAGAGGAAGGGAAAGGAGAGTGTGATAGAAACATCAATGATGAGAGAGTCACTGATCAGTTGCCTCCTGCATGCCCCCCACTAGGGACTGAGTCTGAAACCCAGCCATGTTCCTTCACTGGGAACCGAACTGTGACGTCCTGGTTCATTAGCAACAATGGGTTGACGCTCAACCACTGAGCCACAACGGCTGGATGCAAGTCTTACTCTTAAACACACACATACACAGAACCAAACCTCCTAAACTCTCTGAGGCCCCTGCAGTATCTCCTCAGCCAAAACACCACAGATAAAGAGAACTGTCTGGAAATCTCAAAGGTGCAGGCCCCCCGCTTTTTTCTGAAAACCTAAAGATTTCAGGTTAGGGATTTTCTCTTTAAATGAGGAAAATGTCAAAAAAAGGACACATTCATGTGTACCCCAGGGCCTTTGCACCTCCAAAAGAATTTATAAACAGTTAGATAACAGAGATATTTTTATTAAAATCACCCGCAGGACCAGAGAGGAGAGAGATTTGTCACAAATGCCAGATCAAGAGGCATTTCTCGATTAGGGTGGGCCGCAATCCAAGGACAGGTGTCCTTATAAGAGGGAAACTGGACACAGAGAACGCCATGTAAAGGCAGAGGCAGAGATGGGAATGATGTTTCTCAAAACCGAGGATTGTTGGCAATCATCAGAAGCTAGGAGAGAGGATTCTCCTTTGGAGCCTCCACAAGGAACCACCCTTGCCAACACCTTGATTTTGGACTTCTAGCCTCCAGAACTGGGAGAGAATACACTTCTGTTGTTTTAAGCCCAGTTCGTGGTACTTTTGTTATGGCAGCCCTAGGAAACCAACACATCTTTCTTAGTGCCTCACTGAATCTGCGGGTGGATATTCTGACCTGATTTAACTGCAGGACACTGGCATCACTGATGGAAGCTGGGCCTATTAACTCCCTGGGTTCAAGCTCTGATCCTGCTACCTTACTAGCTGCATGGCTTAGGGCAAGTGGCTGGACCTCACTGTGCCTCAGTGTCCCTATCTTCAAAGTGTGCGCACCTCCTGGTGTAGTTCTGAGATGTAAATGAAGAAATATACAGAAGGTGGGCAAAAGTAGGTTTACGGTTGTTCCTATGGAAAGACACGCAGGTTATGATGATAACAATAGCTTCATTAACACAAAAGAATGCCACCAGGCAACTGTAAACCCGCCTTTGCCACCTGTCTATAAGGTTCTTAGACCAGCACCCAACATAGACTCAACACTCGATACATGTTCTACTGTCACGATCACTCTGAGAGGCAAGAAGTGGGTTTTCCAGTCCATTCCCTGTGCTTGGTGTCCTTGGGCCTTAACAGCGTGTGCAGTTCCCAGGGGTGTGAGTCTGGGTGAGATATCGAATGTATCTAAATTTAAGCACCAGGCACCGTGCCTGGCAGATAAGGGTCTTAGGCCAATGCGGCCCCACCCATGTGTCAGATAAGGCAGAAGGGCTTGACTAAAGGGAGAGGCCCAGAAGTCCACCCAGCCCAGCCCTAGGATGCATCTTGGAGCTACACTCCTCCTCATAGGCTGAGGGTCCCTGAGCAGAACGCTTGTAGATTTGCTGTGTGGCACTGGGAGAGCCACCTACCCTTTCTGGTCTGTTTATTCATCTGACGTGAGGAAGTCGGGGAGGCTGTGTGATGTGCAGAAATAGCTCAAAGCTATTGCAGTCATGAGTGGCTATGGGGGCTGTTAGACAGTCAGAGCATTGGGCTGGAATAAACCCCAGAGGGAGAGACAGAGCCAGGATGCTAACACTAGGGTTTTAAATTCAGCAGCCGCCAGGCAGGCAGGTCACAGAAATGACGAAGGGGGTCCAGGTGGGGTCTAGATGGGGTCTATGGAGCTGCAGCTGCTAGTGTCCAAGGGAACTCAGGCTTGAGGCAGCCAGAACTTCTAACCTGACAAAAGAGACTAGAAATCTGAATTTCTATGTGAACTCTTCAGCATTTTTAACATGGAAAACGAAACCAAATGTTTTGGAAAAGTGCAAGGGTAGGGCCCAGGGCCCACCCATCAACCCCCAGGACTCTTTTTTCCCCAGTGCACCATCGGGGAAATTGAGGCCCAGGCCGATGGCATGAACCCTTTCCCAGGGTTCCCCCTCGCAGGGACACATCTGGGCGTCTGAGGACACTCAGAACTTGGCCTGGCCAGGCGCAGCCTCCACCCCCGCCTGGCCCTTCTCCCTATAGTGAAAGGGACTTTATGGGGACAAAAAGCCACCTATTGTGTCATAGGAGACAAAGGCGCAGGGGACAGAGGCTCCAGGCGCCCGGGCTGGCCACAACTCCACAACCACCCCATCCTTGTGCGGAGGGTCAGGCGTGGGGGGAAAGCTGCTCGGAATTCCCATGCTCTACACACTGAGCATCCGAGAATCACAGCCGTGCAGGAGGCACGAGAGCAGGGGGAGCAGATCCACAACCCTGCAGAGTCCACTACGGGGCCTTGGGCAGCATCCAGCTCTTCTACGCCTCGCTTTCCTTAGCTACAGAGTGGGTGTGAGTCACCCAACCTAGTCCTTCAGTCGCTGAACAAACTCCGGAGGGCTGCCCTGTGCCAGGCGCAGCAGGGAGCCAGCAGCCAGGGTCCCTGCCCCATGTAGCTGCCAGCCTAGGCTGTCACAGGGAAAGGGAATGACAATGGGTCACCTTCAGGGCTTTCCAAAGGAGGCCTTGATCACGTTACCAGTTATTCCTGAGTCCCGGGTTTCAGAACTGAGGTTTTACAAATTCACAGAGCCTGACTTTTGGCCCTTGCCTTCCTGCCCTCACCTCTCTGGGAGACCATGGGGTGCCACCCTGGCCTCTCCCCCCCTTGGACAAACAGGAGGAGCCAACCCAGCCCAACAGCAAAAGACTGTTAGTATCCAGGTGGGGTTCACTGGGCTGTCAAGAAAAACAGGCTCCTCACGGCCATCAGGT